AACCGCGTCGTCTGACATTGGACTCAATAACAATATCGGGAAAAGAAACCAATAGAATCGTTATGAAATACTCAGCTTTGCCTTGCCTTCTACCATCTACACAGAGATAGTGCTCATTATCTGTTTAATCCAAATCTCAACCTGGCAGCTTTTTTGGTGTCTATGAAGTCATGAGACAAGTTCCATTCTAAGGATTCTCACTGAGTGTTAGCCTATATCCCCATTGATATTCTGTTAGTTAATAAATAGCAATAACCCTACCACTGCTAATTTTTGTAAGTTACCTAACGTTGTGCTAATTCTACACTAAACGGAAAATTTATGATCCTCACATTCCCATATCCCACCATCAATTGTCTTTTGAGATATACAGCTCTGTTAAGTGATTCATTTTTTCTAGAGCACTGTTACATTTTTCATAGTCTCATTCATTGTGGAAATTGCCTTCTGCCATTGGCAACACATAGAGAATATTTCAGTACATATTTTTACAAGACAAATGGTGGAAGCATTCATTGAGAATTGAAAGTCTGTAATATGTCAGACATTCTCTGTCCCTGAGGCTAAATAACGAGGGATAACGGTATCACCCAAACTCAGGAAACATTTTGTATTATATCAGAGTCCTAATATGACCTTGAGCCTTAAAATCTCTGCATACAAAGGTTTGTATTTAAAATGTAACATTTGTATAGCCTGGACAATGATAAAAATTACTTAAACATTGTTGCCTTTTATGTCGTGAACTACAACGCCCCTGATTCTTACCAGCATTATGACTGTGAGAGCATTAAGGGAGATGTAGTCCATTACATTTGGAGTGGGAAGGTTGCCAAACCCTGCTCTAAGACATCATCCTTAATCAGGCATGATCACTCACATTTCCAATACAATAATGTTTTTCGGAGGGATCAAAGAGCTCAGAGGTTTTTTTCTTTTGGTTTAAATTGACAGATTCCTAGTATTTTGATAAATAGGAAATGCTGGGGAGCCATCCAGGAGTTCAAATTTTTTGAATTAGTCTAATTTGCATTTTCATAGATGACATCAGGGAGAGGGGCATGACATCAGTTTACCGACTAATTTTAGCAAGTGTCATGTTCTTAAAGGTATTGTTGCTGGCCCGGTATAGGACACAGGTAGGAACGGAAGGTAAGATTGGGAACTAATCTGTAGAAATAGAGAAAAGATACAAAACATCAAATAAAAGAAAGTAACAGAATAAATATGAGATAACCAATGGAACAAATCACACAAATAGGGAGTAAGTGGGTCTAGAAAATAAAACAAATAAGCAAAACAACAGAAACACGAGAATGGTTAAATGTACTAAACAAGAATATTGTATCACAAAAGTACAAATATGGAGGGTTAAAAAGCAGTAAATAAATGAAAAGGGAGAAGAAACAAACAAAAAATTAGCAAATAAAAGAATGTGAAAGCAAAAGAGTTCAGAATAGAGAGATCTCATTATAGTTCTTTACAACCTGGATTAAATGGTTTCTTCAAACCCTTTTTGTATGAAATAGAATAATCCCCTGCTGACATTATTCTATATGTCCCGCCCCCCACCCCCTAAAAAAAGTGAATTCTCAAAGAGCGTTTTAAAATATTTACTTACCTCAATCCAGTGTGAAAACTCCCCGGTGCTGCTCGGCACATTCCCGTGTGATGTCACGGGAGGCACGCCGAGGTCCAATTAAAGACTTCACATAGAATTGTATGTCTGTCCCTCTTCTGTCCTCTTCTGTCTGGTCATCTGTCCATTTGAAATGTTGAGGGGTATGGTATTTTAGCAAATGCCCCTAAGATTATGTATCTGCTGTATGAGTGAGAGTTAAGAAATGCAGATTATAAAATAACAAAATAAACGGTTAGTCCAACCAAAAAACAGTGTTTCAGTTACCGTAACGCTTTTTATCCTGCTCCCCCAGTTAAATGTAAAAATAAAACCTATGTGTGTTCTTTGCTGATGTCACGCCCCTAGCTGCCAGGGAAGGTATGTAGGAGGAGGATGGGCTAAGAGAAGGACATGGCCAGTATTGAGGGGGGTCTATGTTACCATGGGATGATGGTTGTCATTCTGTGCTTACTGACAACAAGACATACAATATATACAAATTGATAATAGCCAGCCAAGTACTCTTGTTCTGGGCTAACTAATGATGCCCCAAATGATGATGTCAAAGGTGTTACACCTTAAACTTTAACACTTTAAACTACACATCAGTGAATTGGTCATGGTGCTTGGAGTAACCACTTAACTGTCACTTAATGCAGATAATACAGACTGGTATTGCAATATAAACCATGTGATGTGCCCAGAATCCTCTCTCTCTTGAGTGCTTGATGCCTCGTTGACTGCTAAAATGCAGCTTTGAGGTTTGAGCCATAAAGGCTACAGTGCAGTGTGAGAACAAATAAAAATAGAAGCATGTGCAGTTCTGCTAAAATTACTTTGCTTTGGTAGACAAAATGAAATATAGGTTATATGTGAGGCTGGGAAGGAAGGGGTTAAAGGCACACCGTTGTGCAAATTGCCAAACTCCAAAAATAGTAATAGGTTACACTGAATAAGTTAATCAAAACAGCTTCCATTTCCTCACTTTTATTTTTCTATTTCCAAAACCAAATGAACGTAGAATAGGGACCCTACAGTGTAACGTTAATTAATTATTTACTCTGGACAGAAATGCACTTTAAGGCACAGAGAGAACCAGAGTGGGAATAGCCAATTAAACTGGCTTTAGGAAATAGTGCATGTAACAATCAAACTTGTTAGTCTTTGTTAATTGAACCACACAGCACTCCATTTAGCACCATTATGCTGTGTTCTTGCAACAATGAATTAGTTTTAGCTACAGTAGAAATTAAAGTTTATAAAATCATGTCCTTTAATCATTACAATGAAATAGTTCACCAAATAAATTGAGTCAGTGACCTTTAACGGTATTTGTTTCTCCGAGTGCCACAATGTCCGGTGCTCTAAAGTAATCTATTTTCTCTTCATACGATTCTATCTGCTGTCAGAATCGGCGGCATTCTTAGAACACTATAATTAATTGAACTGAGTACTTTTGATCACATAACAACCCCATGAGACATTGTTAAATCATTTAATACAGACCAGAGAAATAGATAGCTATATTTCACCTGTCACCACAGTGCCAGTGCTTGGCATGCCAGTATATGAAGCAATCATTTAATCTTACAGGTAAGACCACCTTAGCCACTTAGAATGATAAAATACGTCTCTAAAAGCTATTTATTTCGCCATAACTAAATGCGTTACATGAGCAATACATACAGTTAAATGGCTGACATGTTTTACGTAATTATATATTTTAGTTTAGCTGGGTTTTTTTCTAGGAGCTCAGAATTCTTGATGATAATGGGGGTATCACAGAGCTCCTTCACAATAAAACTCACCATAATTTATCTTTGAATTATAGTGTGTGTATCTGTATGTTTAGCAATTAGTTTGTTTAAATAAAATAGTATGCCAAATTTATTTCACAATTTCATAACTGGCTGTAAGGGTCAAGAAACCATCTGAAATGTTTCAGAGTACTGTTCCTCTTTAGACACATATTCTAGAAGAAACATTTCTCCCTGTGGTAATTTGCAATTTTGGCAGTTATAAATAATTTATGAGTTTTTATAAAAATTTCTACAAATGCACTGCCAGTGGAAATACTAGCCACCTCTTTTGGCTCATTTATGACAGAGCTGATTAACCCCTTAAGGACCGAGGACGGTTCAGGACTGTCATCGGCATTTTCCCATTGCCGACCGCTGACGGTCCTGAACCGTCCTAACGGTCTTAGTTACTTACCTGATCGCCGTCATTCCCCCGGCGGCGATCAGCGTTGCTCCCGGTGTGGGGAGACTGCCTGCAGCCCAGACAGTCTCCCCACACTGGATTAGGACCCCTGTGGCCATGTGATTGCTCAACAGAGCGATCACATGGTCACAATAGGTGTCCATGTGTCTACCTGCAGGGGGACTGCCTGTGCTGACAGGCAGTCTCCCTGCTAGTGTAAAAAAATAACAAATAAATAAAGTAAGTGTTAATAAAAAATAAATAAATATATATATGTGTATATAAATATGATATATAGACATATGTCTATATATCATATATATAATGTCATACTAAGTGTATTTTTATATTAATATGTACTTATATTAATATAAAAATACACTTATAATTAAATTACACACGTATATATATAAGATATCTAATAACTATATATATTGTATATATATATTATTATAAAATATAAATAATAAGTAATTTAAATTAAATAAAACATTTTAAAAATAATAATAAAAATTGAAAAAAAATATATATATCTATATGAAATTTTATTCTAACTGTATTTTAAAATTAATATATATATATTTATATCAAAATACACTTAGAATGAATTTGTATATATATCTATGTATATATAAATAAATAAAAATAATACAAAATATACATATGTCCATATACAAAATTACATAAATAATTATATAAATATACACATAGACTTCAAATATATAAATATGCATATATATTTAAATTCTACGTGCGTATTTATGTAATATTTTTACATAATTCAGTAATTTTATTGATTGCAATTTGAGGGACCTGCCTGCCAACCCAGGCCGAAATTCCAGAGAATTTAATTTGCTAGCACTGTATTTTACCCTGTAACGTTCTACGACACCCTAAAACCTGTACATGGGGGGTACTGTTTTACTCGGGAGACTTCGCTGAACACAAATATTAGTGATTCAAAACAGTAAAACATATCAGTGTGCATTTTTTACACACAAACATCACTTTTACTGATGATATAATTGTTGTGATACGTTTTCCAGTTTTTAAACACTAATATTTGTGTTCAGTGATGTCTCCCGAGTAAAACAGTACCACCCATTTACAGGTTTTATAGTAGTTTTGAAAGTTACAGGGTCAAATATATGGGTCAAATATTTTTACATTGAAAATGGCCAGGTTGGTTACGTTGCCTTTGAGAGCGTATGGTAGCCCAGGAATGAGAATTACCCCCATGATGGCATACCATTTGCAAAAGAAGACAACCCAAGGTATTGCAAATGGGGTATGTCCAGTCTTTTTTAGTAACCACTTGGTCACAAACACTGGCCAAAATTAGCGTTCAATTTAGTTTTTTTACTTTTTTCACACACAAACAAATATGAATGCTTACTTTGGCCAGTGTTTTCGACTAAGTGGCTACTAAAAAAGACTGGACATACCCCATATTGAGTACCCTGGGTTGTCTACTTTAAAAAAAATATGTACATGTGGGGTGTTATTCAGAGATTTATGACAGATAATAGTGTTACAATGTCACTATTGATAAATTTTAAAAATGTATGTTTTGAAACCGCAATATCCTACTTGTACCTATAGCCCTATAACATGCAAAAAAAAGCAAAAAAGCACGTAAACACTAGGTATTTTTAAACTCAGGACAAAATTTTGAATCTATTTAGCAGTTTTTTTCATTCGCTTTTGTAGATGAGTAAAAGATTTTTCAAGTAAAAGTCAAAAAACATGTATATTTTTAAATTTTTCATCATTTTTTTTAAATTAAAATACTAGAGATTATATAAATAATGGTATGTAAAGAAAGCCCCTTTTGTCCTGAAAAAAACAATATATAATTTGTATGGGAACAGTAAATGAGAGAGCAGAAAATTACAGCCAAAGACAAACACCACAAAAGTGTAAAAATATGCCTGGTCGCAAATGTACAACATCGCAAAAACAGCCCAGTCCTTAAGGGGTTAAATATGTCTGTGGTTAAAAACAATCCTCGTCTGAAGGTGAATGGACTCCGTTCTTTCTGTATATATCACAGAGCTATTCACCTTCCACATTTTGTAGAGTGGAATGTCACAGAGTGGCAATCTCAGGGAGAGGCTCTGGACTCCACTAGAATAAACTACACTGAGGTGTCTCCTGGTTTCTCTACTCTGCTTTGCCCATTGTTTACTTGTCACATCAAAGCCAACATTCCATGATCGCTGTAAATACGCTATGTTGTCAAACCTTGACCAAGCATAATAACTCATCTCCTTTTCTTTGTCCTTGTTTCATCTTCAGCAACTGCCACCTTCTCACTCCACCTTCGGATCTCTCTACATACCATTAGAGGATAGCATAATTCCATACTGGAGTAGCTTCTCACTGTGAAAATCACAGTGAGAGCACGCAAGCGTCCATAGGAAAGCATTGATAATGCTTTCCTATGCGACCGGCTGAATGCGCGCGCAGCTCTTGCCGCGTGTGCGCATTCAGCCGACGGGGCGGAACGGAGGAGGATCGGAGGCAGAGAGCTCCCCGCCCAGTGCTGGAAAAAGGTGAGTTTAAACCCCTTTCCCCCTTCTAGAGCCGGGCAGGAGGGGGACCCTGAGGGTGGAGGCACCTTCAGGGCACTATAGTGCCAGGAAAACGAGTATGTTTTCCTGGCACTATAGTGGGCCTTTAAGCCTCAGAGACCCACACATCCCAATTGTAGGATTTGTAATTACTTAATTAGCTGGTCCTTTTGAATTATTTGCCTTATTAGCTTGGTAGCTCAGGTGCCCTTGAAGACACAATCAGGGAATTTAGAAAACGTTTCAGGTTCAGTGATGAGTAGATGCCCATGACGGCATAGAGCCAAGATTGATGACATTAGACCAGCATTTTTTTTCTATACATCCCTTATACTGTAATTTTCCTGTGACACTGTTACTCTTCTGTCAACTTGGGCAGTTTAGGTTATTTACTGGCCACTGGCTGATACTTCAAGGACGAAACATAGTATTGCACTACATCTGCACGATTTCTAGGATAATATTTGTACAATTTCTAGATACTTGTTTAGGATTTCAATTCCTATTTTGTTTTTAATATTAAATATGTTTCCATTTTAAGTGACTAATACAAGTTATATATTTTACTATTGTATGCAATATTCTAGTTCTGTGAAAAACCACGTGTTCTTTATAACAGTCCTCTAGAAGTTGGTTCAAGCCATTATACTTCCTTGCTTGCTTCTACTGCGGAGATATACTCTTCTTCTGTACAAGAATGCGCCACTAATTCTTGCTTATGACTAGTTCAGCTGATAGGACCACATCCATATAAGAACACATGGCCACTTGCAGATTTACGATCTGATTTGTTGCCAGTTCAATCTGCATCTGTATATCCTATGAGACTGGGATCTGTGATAGCTGATATATTTGGTTTAAGATGAGCAGATCCTTTGATTTATCTTACAATTCTCTTGAGTTCAATTCAGTCTCTTTAACTGAGAGAGTTCACTTTTCTGCACAGTATTTCCACTACATATGCAATGTCATGTTCACTAAACATCGGATTTAATATGGATGGGCAGAATGATCGAATTCTGATCGCAATGGCAAAACTCATATTTACTAAAGCTAATTACGGTCGGAAAATCGGTTGGCCCAAGCAAATCTGCAGCAATTGCCTGGATGCATTCTGTGTGGATTAAAATCGGTACATTTGCATCTGAATTGATTCAGAAGATTCACAAATCCCTGATTTAAAACGGATATTATAAGATATTATAATTATAATATTATAAGATAAGGGGGGTTGTGGGGGGGGTGGCAAGTGTCACTCCGCTGGTCCACAAACAATGGTAGCATGTGGGGGCCCTAATACAGGGAGTGCAGAATTATTAGGCAAGTTGTATTTTTGAGGATTAATTTTATTATTGAACAACAACCATGTTCTCAATGAACCCAAAAAACTCATTAATATCAAGCTGAATATTTTTGGAAGTAGTTTTAGTTTGTTTTTAGTTATAGCTATGTTAGGGGGATATCTGTGTGTGCAGGTGACTATTACTGTGCATAATTATTAGGCAACTTAACAAAAAACAAATATATACCCATTTCAATTATTTATTATTACCAGTGAAACCAATATAACATCTCAACATTCACAAATATACATTTCTGACATTCAAAAACAAAACAAATCAGTGACCAATATAGCCACCTTTCTTTGCAAGGACACTCAAAAGCCTGCCATCCATGGATTCTGTCAGTGTTTTGATCTGTTCACCATCAACATTGCGTGCAGCAGCAACCACAGCCTCCCAGACACTGTTCAGAGAGGTGTACTGTTTTCCCTCCTTGTAAATCTCACATTTGATGATGGACCACAGGTTCTCAATGGGGTTCAGATCAGGTGAACAAGGAGGCCATGTCATTAGATTTTCTTCTTTTATACCCTTTCTTGCCAGCCACGCTGTGGAGTACTTGGACGCGTGTGATGGAGCATTGTCCTGCATGAAAATCATGTTTTTCTTGAAGGATGCAGACTTCTTCCTGTACCACTGCTTGAAGAAGGTGTCTTCCAGGAACTGGCAGTAGGACTGGGAGTTGAGCTTGACTCCATCCTCAACCCGAAAAGGCCCCACAAGCTCATCTTTGATGATACCAGCCCAAACCAGTACTCCACCTCCACCTTGCTGGCGTCTGAGTCGGACTGGAGCTCTCTGCCCTTTACCAATCCAGCCACGGGCCCATCCATCTGGCCCATCAAGACTCACTCTCATTTCATCAGTCCATAAAACCTTAGAAAAATCAGTCTTGAGATATTTCTTGGCCCAGTCTTGACGTTTCAGCTTGTGTGTCTTGTTCAGTGGTGGTCGTCTTTCAGCCTTTCTTACCTTGGCCATGTCTCTGAGTATTGCACACCTTGTGCTTTTGGGCACTCCAGTGATGTTGCAGCTCTGAAATATGGCCAAACTGGTGGCAAGTGGCATCGTGGCAGCTGCACGCTTGACTTTTCTCAGTTCATGGGCAGTTATTTTGCGCCTTGGTTTTTCCACACGCTTCTTGCGACCCTGTTGACTATTTTGAATGAAACGCTTGATTGTTTGATGATCACGCTTCAGAAGCTTTGCAATTTTAAGAGTGCTGCATCCCTCTGCAAGATATCTCACTATTTTTGACTTTTCTGAGCCTGTCAAGTCCTTCTTTTGACCCATTTTGCCAAAGGAAAGGAAGTTGCCTAATAATTATGCACACCTGATATAGGGTGTTGATGTCATTAGACCACACCCCTTCTCATTACAGAGATGCACATCACCTAATATGCTTAATTGGTAGTAGGCTTTCGAGCCTATACAGCTTGGAGTAAGACAACATGCATAAAGAGGATGATGTGGTCAAAATACTCATTTGCCTAATAATTCTGCACTCCCTGTATTAATATACAGATGGGCAGAGTGGGTGGGTGGGTTAATTAAACAATGGTGGGTGGACATGCATATGCTATCAGACGGAGTTCTTACATTGGGGAAAGCCCTTATAAAGGATTTCCCACACTATATCAGCTATTACATTGTGCGGGAACATTTTCACCCGAATGAACAAAATCACTGATAAAGTTATCTGCCTTTTCTTGAACAATAAAGGTGTTTTTACCGAGTACTATTTTTGCTATGCAGTGACTTTTTCCGGTCTATGGTAGCCTTTTTAATCAGTTTCAAGCAAGATGACTACTTTCCAGCCCGTTTTGCCAGCAAATGCATTGCCGTGGCTACTGTGAGAAGTTGATTCTCAATGTTTTGTATTTCAAATGCTTGTTTCTCACAACTCATTGCATTTTTTCCAGTCCTTACTGACTCTCCCTTACAACATGATTCTCTCTCGTTTCTAGAGATACATTATTGAACTGTAGCTTTCTGGAAGACTTGATAAAATCACAATCAATATGTCTCCGTCATCAAATATCTTTCCAATAGAATCTAAATGATCAATTAACTGACATTTAATTCAGATTCTAGGACTTCTCCTTGAGACAGTTTTCTTGATAAATAAAACCTTTCATTTAGATTGCTACTGTCAAACAATTATTTTAAATCTTCCCATAACTCCCTGGGTGTCTTAAAGTTTTTAATGTAGCATAAATACATGCTATTCACGTAAGTGAAGATCTCAGCTCTTGTTGTTCCATATTTTTTTACATGAGCTGCTGTTAAGGACTCTTCCACTGTGTCCCAGAGATCCTATCTCACAAGGTCAATCTGCATTCAATTTTAATGGAATTTTTCAATAAAGTATACAAACAGTGTGCATTACATTCATTGGTATTTTGCTTAGGCATTATATGTGTTTTCAAATGTAAGTACAATTAACAACACTGTAGGGTAGTTGGTGTTTTCCAATATGATGACCATAGGACATTCAGTTATTACACAGTGTTAAGGTACTGATTCCATGTAGATTGGCCTACTTGGGACCATTAAGCCCACACCACTTTATGCTTTGAGAGGATACTAGACAACCTATGAGTCATAGCTTTATACAGCTCAATATTTTTTAAACACTACTGTGGATACCAAGGGTGGAGTCATGGATTTCCACTGGCGTGCTATACACAATCTCGCTGTCAGTATTACATGCATGGTAATTTTTTGTTGAGGACCCGGAGAGCATC